TTCGGGTTGTCTGGAAAGTGAGTTGGAAAGTTGACTATTTGAGTTAGGGATTAAGAAAGCCAAAAGTTGTGGGCTTTAATGCCTGCAGAGTCACTGACACTAGAGCCAAGCCATTCTTTGTGATGACCATTAAAGTCACCGACAACAACAATATTGGCTGATGGATAAAGAATGAGGGTTTAGTCAATATGATCAGAAATAATATCAAGAAGAGTGCAGTCTTGAGATTAAGGAGAGCGGTATAGAACAAAGAGAAAGGTGATAGAGTGAAGTGGTGCTAAATGAAAGCACATAAAAGAGTAGTCTGTGGATTCAAACCTAGTTTCCCGACAAATAGGTGAATTCTTATGCCCAGGCCAAGCATGTGAACAATGGAGTCTTTACGAATTAAAGAAAGATAACCATCAACACTAAGATCACAAGATGAGACAGCTGAACACAAATTAGTCTCACAAAGAGCAAGTCTGGTGAACTTTGCAAGAGATAAGACTCAACTGAAGAAAAGTTACTTTAAAGACCACAAATATTAGTTAATGATAGGTTTAGCAAACTTTGGTTTTTTGTGTTTTATAGTTTTTGTTACTTTATTAATTTTTGTGTTTTATAGTTTTTGTTACTTATTAATTTTGTTACTTTATTAATTTGTTAAAGAACTTGACTTGAAACATAAATAGTACTCAGTACACTGTTTATTAGCCCAAGCAATTGCCTCATTACTATTAATAAACCCTAAGCCGTATCAAAGGGCTCCAATGTGGCCTTGGCAATGCACACCAAAAGTACAAACAGGAACACCATCCATGCGCAACATGGCACTGTTAATACTTTGATATTTTTCAGATGTTGATGGAATCAGCCTCTCTGAGAGCTACCACAGAGTTCGGGAGCCTGACTACCAGCTGGCCTCAGAACCATAAAACTTAGAGCTGTACCCTCATTAGGAGATAATAGAATGAGTTGCCTAGTCACAAAAACTGAGACACAAGCAAAACCCATGAATCGAGTCAAGAAGATCCAGCATTCAACATCCTAAACTGGAAACAATATTAAGAATACATCTGCAGCAGCCTAATAGATGAAGAAGGGGTGGGAGGCTGGTCAACAGATAGAATCTGTTTACCTCTTATTTTTTTGCCTAGGAGGCCTTCTCCAAGACAGCAGCCGGATGCATTTAACCTCTGCCCATGATGAGTATTGTTATTGAGACACCATCTCTATTCTTTACTCAACCATGAGCCCCAAGGCAGGGGGTGTTTTATGTCGGAGTTGGCATCTCCTAGCCTTTGCCTAAAAGGGGTATCCTACAAGGCAGCAGGACATGAAGCAGATTGTACTGGGTTACATGTTACCAGTAGTAGGATAAACCTGACCTGACTTTACCAACCTGATGCCAAATTTTAACAGATTGTAATTAGTATACATTTTTGTGACGCAGTGTGTATATATATATATATATATATATATATATATATATATATATATATATATATATATATATATATATATATATATATATATATATATATATATATATATATATATATATATATATATATATACAGTATCTCAAAAAATTATCCAACCAAACAAGTTTTTCCCAAAAAAAAAATGTTTACACTTTAAATTATATTAAAAACAATGAATAGCGATACTTACTTTGTTTGTCCTTTTTATTCTATTGAGAATAGTATGTTACTTAGTGATCATATTTTTTGATTCATGCTTCAGTTGGTTTATTATTTGTCCCAAAAGAAACTTAGTATTAAATAGGCTTGTAAAAAAATTATCCGACCAAGCGATATTTGGGTAAGTTTGATTAATTTTATGTGAAATTTGTTAAGTTTCTGGAAAAAGATCCTGTGGAGCAACGTATCGAAATTCAACTTAAAGTCATCTGATGGATCCAAAAAGTTTGTAGAAAAGCCGGAGCAAATTAAGCTGCATGAGAGGAACTGTCAAGTATGGTGGTAGTAATGTGATGGTATGGGGTTTAATGGCTTCGAAGGGTGTCAGAAAACTCCAATTTATTGATATATAAAGGATCAGGTGCAATACAGAAACATATTAAAGCAAAATTTGAAGTCATCTGCTCGAAAGTTTTGGCTAGGATCTGATTTTACTTTTAAGCAAGATAATGATCCCAAGCTTAGTGCCACTAAAACCAAGGAGTGGTTTGCTCAAAATAATGTTTGTTAAAAATAATGTTGAGGTCTTGGAGTGGCCCGCACAATAGCTGGACCTTAATCCCATTGAACATTTGTGGGAAATTTTGACGAAAAAATTAGAGATCGGTTATTTTCCAAAAAAGATAACCCCAAAGTTGCAATTGAAGAAGCCTGGGAAAAGATTCAACCAGAAGAAACAAAATCTTTAGTCAAATCAATGCCTAGATGTCTAGAAGCTGTAATCCAAGCAAAGGGAGGCCCTATAAATTTTTAAAATAATTGCTTTGTTATATAATAATTTATTATAAAACAAAAAATGTGCTTGGTTGAATATTTTTTTGACAATAAAAAAATAACTTTAATTCCTTTATTTTAGGACTGAAAACTTTATGATTCATATTTTACACTAAAATAAAATCTATTTAAAAACATGTTTTTTTTTTTTGTTCTTGAGTTTACCAAAAAAGTCTAAATTTATGAAAATGCACTTTTTTAGGAAAAATATTTTTAAAAATGTTTGGTCGGATAAATTTTTGAGACACTATATATCAGCACTCAAAATAATTATTTAGAGGTTGCCGATCAACACTGATCAGCTGAAAAGATAAATATTGAAAAGTAGACAATCAAATAATTTTCCAAACAATCAAATATTTTTGCTAGTTTGTATTAAAGTTTTATGTGTAGTAATTTTTGCGTCACACTTTTTATGTTTGTGCTTGATAGTGCTGCTTATTCCGCAGAATTCCCACTTTGTTTAAAATTCCAAAACAATAAAAAAATAAAACTTATACTGGGCCTTATTTTAAAGTGTCACGTTATAAATACAAACGAGTCTCTTACAGTGGCGGATTAAGACTTCAAAAATAACCCTCTTCCGGGGTTATTTTTGTTTTTGAAGGCCTTTTTATGGGCCAGAGCCTCAAAATGACTATAAAAAAAAAAGTTCTCTAAAAGTTTTTGGGGCTCCTAAATTTGCGGGGCCCGGGGCTATAGCCCCCTCTAGCCCCCTTGATCCGGCACTGGCCTCTTAAACAACGTTGTAAATGCACTTTAGGAAGCCCTTAAAAAAAAAAGGAAGCCCTTAAAAATTTATACATAAGCCAAACAGTTGTCTGTCTTATCATAAAATTTATGATAAGTTGTTCTGCATATCCTAACTTATCATAAAAATTAACAAATAAGAAATTAAGTTGATCATACAAAATAAAAAAAGTAAGAAATTAATTAAGTTGATCAAGTTAACTTTTGATTCGTCATTCGATTAGGCAAAATCAATTTTTCAAAAAGTTAAAAAAAAATTATTTTCTGATTATCTTAAGATATTTTTAGCACGTTATAGATGGTCATTAACCTTAAGATTTTTGTTATGAGTATCTTGTCCATTTATATTTTATATTTATATATATCTTTTTTATATTTATATTACAAAATATTTTTGTTACATTTATAATATAAATATTTTTATTATATTTATAACATAAAATATATTTTTTACATTCATTTAGTTAAAACTATTGTTTAAACTAAGCGACTGTTAGTTTAAACTATAGTTTTAACTAAATGAATGTAACTATTCAACTAAATATTTAATAACTATGTTATTAAATATTTAGTTGAATAGTTTCTGCAAACGAGAGTTAATAAATTTATTAACTAATTAATACTCTTACTGAGGATAAAAAATGTTTTATTTTAAATGCGCATTAAATTGTTATTATAAGAAAGGTGTATAAAACAACAATTTAACAATACTGTAAAGTTGTTTTGTTAATATTAAAAGCTTGTTTTAATAAAAAATAACTTCACCATGTTGTTTTATTAATTTTTTATACAGTTAATAACATTAAAACATAAAATGCGTTTAAAATAAAATGTGTCAGTGCGAATGAGGTATAACAATAGCAGTTCTTGAAATGATTTTAATGAGCAAGAGATATTTTTTAACTTCAGAAATTGAAGTTCTTATTTTATTATTATTTGAAATTGTTGTATGTACATTATCTCAACTGTACTTTGTTTATTTTTTTTTCTTTTAATCTTTTCAAATATTTTTCTTGTAGCTTTTCCCACCATTTGCAAAGTCATTGTAGTGAAATCATTTATTTTTAAATAAATTAAAAGTTATCAATTGCCCAATTGCACTTTAAAAAAAAACATTGATTTTATATAAAATTATTATTATTATTAAAATAATACAAATTCGTTAATTTTTAAGCATTAACTTATTTTTGTATTTATAAACTTCAATCATGAAGAACTATGACTAAGATAAAAACTTAAACAAAACAAAAAGTTTTGACCGTCCAAAAAAAAAAATTTGACCATCAATTCCTTGTGTTGGCCGATTGAATTATTAACACATATATATATATATATATATATATATATATATATATATATATATATATATATATATATATATATATGTGTGTGTGTATGTGTGTTAATATTATATAATATATGTTAACACATACATCATATAAGCTGTTGTATCACATATAAAGTTAGTATTTGTACAGACAGTACAAATTACTGACAGCTGTGGCCCTGTGCACTTTGTTTATTTTAACACGCATTTTTTGAGCATTTTATCAACTTTTTTAAAAGGCTTAATTCTTATTGCTCTCGTTAAGTATCTGTAAACATATGTGCATTTATGTTTACATATATACACATATGTTTTAACATATGTTAAGTAATTATTTTGTCATGGTAGTTAATTTCAGGAAGTTTAATGTTTATATATGACAGTATTATTAACATTATTAATAATATTTACATATGGCAATAAGAATATTTATTGTTGTTTTATTTCTTTACTTTTTTTTTTAGTGTAAATTTCAAAAGAGATGTGTTTTTACTTGGCCCTCAGCCCAACAATAATTTTGGTCCAAGTGCACTTTTGGCTAGTGTGCAGTGTACAAAGGATGTTAATAGCTTGTAAGTTAAAAACTTCATAGTGTAGTTAATGATTTTATTGTATATATTGAGTTATTTAAATTAAAATGTTTTCTATTGAAAAGATTTTAGATTATTTTTCAATATAATAAAAAATTTTCAATTGTTTATTAACATAATAAAATAATGTACTTGGTACAAAGTTTTGGTAAAAAGAAGTGGACCTCCCAGCAAACATTAGGTAGTAGGACCGACAACAGGCTGCTGTCAGCGCAAATGTTTTGTCAATGTCGGTTGCCCAATGTGGTGCCATGTTGGCTTGCACATGGTATTTATATTGGTCTGTTATTTACAAGTTGAATGCGACTCAACAGCGGACCGATAGTGGCAAAACTTAGACTTTTTAACAGCGGTCCGTTGGTGGCAAATCGATGATGGAACAATAGCAATCTGATATAGGACCTTCTGTGCTATTATTTGCACGGATTTAATATTACTATTTTTGTATTAAGTTTAAATAGATATGTACTTAATATTTTTTTTATTTATATATATATATATTTTTTTCTTGCATAGTCATCCAAAATAGGTCAAGCATAAAGGTTGGCACGTATAATATGTTATACTTATATACACACGCGCTTTGCAATGTTTAAGTCCGCTGAAAAATATGAAAAAAGTAATCAGAAAATAATGAAAATAAATTTAAGATTATGATTTATAAAATCACATAACAAAAATATTTTATCTAAAATATTTTACATCTAAAATATAATAAATATTGGAATACAAAATATAAATAAATATTAAAAATAAAATAAATTATTCTTACTCTTAACTAGATATAATCTTATAATATAATGATGCTGACTAGTTGGAGACAACAGCCTTCTGTTTTTTATTGTTCCCTCTGATGTTGCTATACTTTGTGTCCCCCATTTTGGTCTGTTGCACCATGTAAAAAATGCACAATCTCATGTTGAAAATCAGATTCCGAGGTTGCATTTCTTGCATGATTTCTTCTTACAGCTCCTAAGAATGAATTTATAAGTTTTATTTAGTCTTTTTCAATATGAAAAGTAGCTAAATAGAATACTTTGACATTATTTCATAAATAAATTAATTTCATAAATAATTAAATCATTAAATTTACTCTTAAGTACAAGGCGACATCGCAAGTCTCTAAGACTTTGTTTTTCAAAGCTACCAATTTCATTATCACGCCAGTCTAGTTGAGTATACGGCAGAGGTTGTTAGTAAACAACGTAAATGTCATTCTTCGAACAACCTGCTTTAAGGTTTAGCCTCCTTTGCTGGTGTAAGGTTTTTTTTTTGTATAGAAAAGTATTTATAACAATTAAACTTCAAAATGTTTTTAAGTTAAAGCCAGAGTTCCCTGACTTTTCACTGACTGTAATAAAAATTCCTTGATTTTGATGGAAAAATTATAAAATATATAAATATGTATAATATATAAAAAAAATAGACTTGCTTTAAAAGTGCTTTCATTGACTTTTAAATAATGATTTTATAATTGGTCTTTATAAATACATTTTTTACAATATTATTTTGATTTTTAATTCAAATAATAAGTTATAGTTTGTGACAGAATCAATCAAAATTCCCTCACTTTTCTATGATTTAAGCAAAATTCTTTAATTCCCTGACTTTTTTCTCAATTTAGAAATTCCCTGACTTTTCCAGTAAATCCAGGTTGCTGGCCACCCTGAAATCTTATTATTTACAGATTCAAAATAATATGCGTAACTTAATGAATGAAAATAATATTATTATAAAATAAATATATTTAACTAAGACCTGTATAAAATGTGGTTTTTTTGAAAACGGTAACTAAATTCTTCAAATTTATAATAGCTTACAAGTTTATTGAAAACCACCCTGTCAGCTGCAAGGAGATTTTTAAATTCACTCAACTCTACCAGTTCATTAATTGGCAAACTACATCGCTCTAAAATTTCATCGTCTCCTTTGCTTTCTAACAAACTCTGCAATATTTTAGTATTAAGTTCAGTTTGGTGCTTCATTTTATTTTTAATTTCCACAAGTATTGTTAACTTTAGAACCATCTTTAGATGAACACTGAACCCTGCATAAGTTAAATTTTAAATATTTTATAGTTCATTTAAACTTTGTTTGCTTTTTTTATAATGATATATATATATATATATATATATATATATATATATATATATATATATATATATATATATATATATATATATAAACAATAGGTCTTGTACAGAATTTAAACTTTCAAAAATGTTTAAGTTTTTATTTAAAAAATTTTAAATAAAAACTTAAACATTTTTCTTAGTAAGATAAACAAATGAAATAATTAAATCTTTGAATTACTATAGAAATTAACTAGATAGAAATCAACTAAAAAGGTTAAAAATTCTTTATGGCGAGGAAGCGAAGCTGCTTTATAATATTGCTGATGTTTAGTGAGTGGGCTTTTTAATTTTAATTAGTATTTAAAGCAGAAAAAATTATGATGAGTTTTTAAGAAAGGAAACTTAAGTGAAAATTAGATTTAGTAAACCAATATCTAGAAACTTTTCTTTATATCTAATAACTTGTTATAAATATTTGTGTTCTGTCGTGACCTCAGGCACGGTGCTTTTTCATCCGCGAGTTACTTTGTATGCATTGTTTGTGTTTAGTAACCTGAAACTTTTTAATTGTTTGTTACATAATAAGTTTTATTAACTATAACGATTATAACTTATTATAATTTCATTAAAAGCGCAATTATTTTTGTAAGTCTTTGTTTACAAATTAAATCGATAGAAAACAGATACACAAAATTACATTTACATAAAAAATACTTACTTTTTAAATAAAAAATAAGTATATACTAATAAAATCTATAATTTATAATAAACTTTCAAAATTTTGACAATTTAAATAATAAATATTTTAATATATTTTAAAACATTTTTTTTTTGTAAACAAATAATAATAGTTTATAAGATTTATGACAGTTTTTTGCAACTTCCGTGGTCAGTATTCGAGAGCGACCAAGCCTGGTTGCATATTTTTATTATATTATGAGATTAAATTATAAGTACAACTAAGAGACAGTTAAAAATTTATTTTTTGTATTGTTTATTCAATAGAACAATATTCAATAAAAAAATAAAACAAGATACTGATATATATAAATAAGAAATTTTAAGGACTAAGTATGTAAAAGTGAAATTGCTACATATAATTTCTTCTGTGGCAAAAGAACATATTTTTTCTCAATGTCATCAATTCCAATCATGTAGAATCCCATGGAAAACTAAACAACTTTTCTTGCTTTTTAAATGTGTCGAATACAATAAAGATTTCATGAGGTTCTCTTCTCGCTTTTACAATGTTTTGTACTAACACTATTTCACCAGTTTTTAAACCAAAAAAATTATCACCTACTGATACTGTTATGCAAAATGTTGAAAACCATACAGAACAGAGACATGCTGAATGATTAGAGTAAGACTCAACAATACCCTCATGACAACAGGCATTAACAAAAAATTGTTATGCAAAGCTTCGGGTAGAATTCCAGCCAAATAAGTAACACCAGTATATAAAAGAAACTGTCGAAACTCTGTTGCTTTATATCTTTCAAAATCAGCTACTGATCTTGGTTTATGTGCAAATTCTTTCGGAACAAACATGGTTGCCGCAATTAATTTATCAGCCAAAATTTTCACCTCTCTTTGTCCAGTTATAATACCCAATGGTCCTTTTAACCACATAAATAAAAACTTTCCAACAACTCTTAAGCAAACAAGATGTATATAATCAGAAGGAAACTTTTTTACCATACCAATACCAAGTTTTACAAGGATAGATTCTTTTATATGATGTTCTTTTTGTATCATATTAGAAAAAGACTGATTTGTCCTCAGTTCAGCAATACTTTTATCACTATTTTATTTTAGTATTTTTATTTTATTTTTATAATTCACCATATTTTTGTGTTTATTATTATAAAATATTTGAAAATCAGATTTAGAAGTGAAATCTTTGTAGGTTTTTTTGTATTACAGAGTTTATTTTGATAGAACTCTGAGAAAAAATTAAGTGGAAAACTATTAAGTGGAAAACATATTAAGTGGAAAAGTGGAAAACATATTAAATGGATTTACTCTTCCAGCAAGTTGACCTTCTTGACATCACTTATCACACCCAAAATAAGCATTGTGTCCTTTACATCCTTTTATAAATGATCTTGCTGGTGTGTTGCAAATAATAGTTGATATAGTAAACTTCAAGATTTTATCATTTATGTTAATGCCTAAACCAATTAAAGCAATACTTTCATCAACCAACTTTAGAAGAAATTCTTTGGATTTTTTTGGTTTACATTTACCATAAAAAAGATTAATTATAAAAGGTTTTTTATTACTTTGAATATTTTTTTCAATATTTTCAACTAGACCTAGACCCATTATTGTCCATTTGAGCTTTTAAATAAAGATAAACCATCAATGTTTACTTGAATTGAAATTAAATCCTTTTAGTTAAAAAAACTTGAATCATTATTCAAAATCCTTTGTTCAATACCCAAATGGCAATATTGTCCTCCAGCTATTGTGCTAACTTTTACAACAGATTTTGTTTGAAGCAAGGTGCGTCGATCTTTCGGCAATTCAGGAAACAATTCACATAAAATTTTTAACAAAGAAGATAAAGCTGCATTTGTAATTGCAAATTTAACTGCCCATTGCATTAAACTATTTTGAAAATCGCTTTCAACGCTAAATTTACTTGTTCCACAATTTGATGACTCAAGTGGGCAATATTTTGAATCAGAAATTGTTTGAAATTGGTCATAGTTTACTTCAAAATCAACTGAGGGCATGACAGGCTGAGTAAAAATGCAACTATCTGGTTCACATGGTAAATAGTTGAATGAAACTTCATCGAGTAATTGTAAAACCATTACAGATTTACAAAAAAATTACATACAGATTTGTATAAAGTTAAATTATCTAAATTCTGTTTTAAAAGTTTACAAAAGTTTTTGT